AACTTGCCAGCCGCTGGTGGCAGGCGAGTCCCTCTGGGCAGCATTCGTTTGCTCGCGCGCCCATCTTACCACAGTCCCAGAAATAGAGCTGTTGAACGTTCGGGCATGCCTCCACGCCGTGTCCTCCCATTCCGCAACGCCTACAAATTGGTGTTCGTCGTTGTGCGTCTGCTGGAACTCCCACCACCAACGGTGGCATCAGTGCGGGACGCGTGGTGTTTGACTCGCCGCTACCGCACGCCTGCCCCTTGCCAGGAGTGATTGGTATACGCCCCTCGCCGCCCGTGCGTACTCGTCAAGCGAGCCCACCCCTTCGCCGGCCAGGCAGAGTCTGGCGCGTATTTCTGGCAGCCCGTTGGCGTGGAAGAGCCTCAGCTGTTCCTCCACCGGCATCTAGGCGACACTCTTCCCTAAGGGCATCTTCTGGGTTCTCCCTCAGTAGGTAATCACGGAACTCAGTCCATCGTTGCGACGAATTGCGCCTCGACCGCTCCCAATTCTTTGCCTCGACCACCAGGACCACTGGTAACACTGTCACCAAATCATCTGGGAGTACGTCGCTCATCTCCGCCATATCTTCCAGGTCCTGGAGAAACGTCCTTGGGTCCCCGCTACCGTCGAATTGGATGCCCCACTGTGCCACTTCCTTCTTCAGAAGGGCTCGTCCGGCTCGTTCGGCTGGCGTCAGCGTACGCTGTGCTGTCAACGCCTGTGTCTCCGCAAGAGGCGGCGCTGGAGTCGGTGCTGTGGCCGTGGGCGGTGCCCAGCCGACATGTGCGCCAACAGTAGTAGCTGCCAGCGCCGTGATCTGCTCAGACAGTCTCTGGAAACCATTTTCTAGGGTCTCCACCAACCGTTGGGTATGCTGCGCTAGCACCGTTGCAAGTGAGTCGGCAATTTGTCGTCTCAGGTCTGCCGCCGAAGGCAGTGGGGTCACCGATGGCGCCGCTAAGGCTACTGTGGGCGTCGCTAAGGTTGCTATGGGCGTCGCCGGAGTGGCCACCGATATGGTTGGCGCCGGCGTTGGAGTCGGTGATGTGGTTCGCGCTGGAATCAAGGCTGGTAACCCCTTTGTCTGCATCGCGGTGTGCTGCCCTGAGGGCGGACCTTCCATTGCGTCTTCTTGTTTGAGGACCCCTAGATGCCCCCCAGGCAGCGGGCTCAACTGGCCTGTCGCCTCTGAGCGCGATGATGTGTTTTCGAACCAGCTATTTTAGGCGGGATCGATCCTCGTTGTTGATGAGAGCGGAAACGCGCGACCGCAGTGCCTCCACGTTGCCGTTCTCTTCGAACTTACGCAGAATTGCGCTGAGGTCCGGCTTCCCAGCCCGATCGTATCATTATGCATCCACGTGTTTCTCTTTTATCTTGGGTCTAATATATCTGTTCAACTTTGAGGTCCCTGATCGGGTGCCACTTATAACATTGCTCTGCCGCGGGTATTCTCGCCGGTCAGAGTGCTCAAATTTGTTTTATGGGCCCCAAAGTACCACGAAATAAGTAGACGCAAATATATTTATTTACATATTTATTTATTTATTTATTTATTTATTTATTTATTAATTAATTAATTTATTAATTAAGTTATTTATTTATGTCAACAAACATTGACTGTCGACATAGGAAATAGTATATAAAAATTATAAACAGCATCTTATAAGCTACAAAAACCTGAGAAGGAGAAATCTAATCAAATTACAATAATATCTAATTAACGCTTCCGACCAGGTGGGGGAATATTATTTGCCCTTCGGCTATCTGTGTGGTCAAAAGCGCCAATAGATCTACCGATAAAAAGAATAAGAGAAGAAGCTTAGAAATATTTAAAAGCTAATTAAAAAAAATAATAATAATAAAATTAAATAAAATTGGAATCTCAGACCGGGTGGGGGAAGATTTTTTAACCAGTCCGGCAAGCTATGCCCCATCTCACAGCCGATCCTGGTCAGAGATTCCCGAGATGGCTGAAAAGAGAGGCTTTTATTATAGAAAGAGCCAGTTCAGTTGAGAGCAGGTGAAAATACTCATTGTGAGATGAGCATAAAACACATACACATACTAAGGAAAAGGGGAAGATAATTTCTTGACGTTCTGGAAGGAACTAAGCAATTAAGACGACCTAATAGGAAAGGAGAATCAACACTACCGGCAATCTGTTTGTGGAGAAATACAGCTCAAAGGACAGTCCTCCGATTAGCCAATGACGGAAGATTAATAAGCAGCGAAGAACAAAAAAAAAAAGAAAAGAAGAATCCAAGCACGCCCTTCGCCTTGTTTCTGATGCAAGAAATGTGAAGATTGAAGTTAAATTTAGAATCAAACAGAACTCCAAGATCTTCGACAATAGAAATACGTTGCAATAATTCATTGTCCATCGTATAGGTGACAAGATGTGGTATGGTCCGATAAAAGGACATAAATGCAGGACCATCTCTGCATTCAGTTCAGATCATCCTGCAAACGAGTGTGAAAGAGATGATTGTTATATGAAAGAATGAGCTTCACATCATCAGCATACATCAGTATGTGAGAATGTGACAGGATAGAAAGAAGGTCGTTTATAAAAAGAGTGAATAACAATGGGCCTAGATGAATACCTTGAGGTACACCAGAAATAACACGAATAGGTTGAGGATAACCGATCTGAGTAGAACTCTGTGGGTCCTACTTTTAAGATAGGACGAAATCCAAAGCAAAAAATTTGAAGGAAACCCAATACGATCAAGCTTCAACAGGAGTAAGTCGTGATTCACTGAATCAAATGCCTTACTGCAGTCAGTATAAATAACATTAGTTTGCGTTGTAGCTAGGAATGCATCATTTATCAATGATGTAAATTCCAGCAAATTGGATGTTGTCGAACGATATTTGATAAAACCATACTGAGTAGGGGAGATAACCGACTTACACAGATGCTGCAAAGTGTGTAAAGAAGTTCTTTTTCCAACTGGGGTATGGCTCAGCTGTACAGGGTTCTGTAGAGGGATTCGATGCTCAGTATAGTCGCCGCGTGGCCGGTTTTTTGGCGTTATGTCTGCCGGCTCATGCGCTACAAATATAATTTCCAAAACTCCGTTGGTTGGCTCATGCACTCTTTATATGAAATGTGTCTACTGTAGCCGCTGGCGCTGGGTGATGCGGGGAAGGAAGAGGTCTCGCTTGTCGTTATACTGCCGGCTCATGCGCGGCTAAATATAATAACCAACACCTGCTTGCTTTTGCAGTCGCACTTTACATATATACTCATATATACTCAAGCCTAGTATATATGTAAGTTGCGCTCATAGGGACGGAGGATTTCTGGGTGAAATAATTAAACGCGCACTGAAATATTACTCACACTGGCTTTTATTTCTAACACGTATCTTGTGGCCCTACTTTGCACCACGATTATTTGAGGATTCTTCAGACTCACTCCGATTTAATTACCTCCGTCAACTTAGGTTAGCTCCTGTGTTTCGCTGCTGGTACTCGTCGCGTCTCATGTCTATCGTTTTGAATGGTCGCAGGAGAAGAGCGCGAGGCACGTCTGCTCGGATTCACTGTGCACGGTAGAAGAGCTTCCGTTCTCTCCTTGGCTTGTAGCTCCGTGGGGTATGACCATTTCTCTTCTACTTCAAAATACCTATCTAAGCGTGGGCGGCGATGCCAGCTTGCTTGCCCTTTGTCCCTTTCAAAGGGTCGCTGATTTAAAACTCTAATCGTGTGCAGCGTGGTGAAATACAATTTGAATCTTAAGTCTAGTAACAGTGGAATTGGTATAAAGGAACTTGAATGTGCAACCTTCAATGTGCAATATTCAATATGAAATCTTAGGACTAGTAACATAATGTACAATATTCAGTATGAAATCTTAGGACTTAAGAAATATAGTTAATTGTGACGCAGCGGGATTCTGCATCACAAGTGGAAGTAATTATTTTTATAGCCTGTATCCAAAGGGTGAAAGGCTATACTAGTTCAAGTACAATAGCAAGGATAACCACACTTGGCATTCAGGTTCCCCTAAGCCCTAGGCAGAACGAGTTTGTGTTTTTTTTCTGATACACCCCCCACTCCCCCGCAATTCGTGTTTTTCCTAACTCCGGTAGTTGTTGGAATTTTGCTTATGCGCTGTCTGCAGCTCTGCCGGCAGCGCTGCCCGCAGCTGTTGTTGTAGTTGCTGCTTTGGTTCAACTTTATGCTGCATACATACACGCATAGGCACGTGATGTAAATGTATGTTGTTAAAACTGAACATAAACATGTCTTCTAATTTAATTTAATTAATTAATTTTTTTTTTAATAATTTAATTTTTAAAAAACTTTTGTTTATTTTAAATTTTTCTTTTTTGTGGAGAGTACAGGCTATTTTACTGTCGGGCTTGCTCGACTGTAGCGTTCTCTCTTGTTGTATATGTATCGACAGTACTATTTGTTTATTTACTAAATAAATATGATCATGGGCAAGCAGATCACAAATATTAGTACACGCACAAGTGAGAGCAAGGAAAAAGGGTCGCTGAAACGCAAGACAGACCATAAATATTGTAAGCTTCTGGTATCAATTAGTGCGATGTCAAATACTGGTCAAAGGATGAAACGCCCAATAGGAAATACAGTCCACAAAAAAAGGAGATATACTTAATTTTAATTAAGAAAAAGTAGATGTCAAATATAAAAAATAAGAATAGATCTTAAGCAACAATTGTTTATAAAATAAGCAACATGTTTAATAATAAATAGGTTCAAATTTGAATTCAAACATTTAGCGTCTTTTTATTAAGGCCTTAACAATCGGTATGGAACTAAGCATTACGGACCAAATTTGTCCAAAATCGAATACTAATACTCTGTCGACAAGATGACTGCAGGGCTGTACCAACGCGTTGCGTATAAATATACTAAGACAATATTTGGGACAATACACCGCGCTGATCCTGAGCATAGACAAACATGTAAACCACCCGATTACTGCAGCACCTTCCAGGTGGAAGCCTTCACCATAAGGATGAGAAGAGTTAACGTTGAGCTTTCTTATATTTATTTGTGTAGTAATTTAATCGAGATACAACAAAGGTGTAACTTATTTTAAATCTACAATTGCAGCAAATATTGTTTGGCCAACGATCGCAGAAAACGTGTTTTTCGCACCATTGCGCTTTCCCGCCTTATCTCATCGTTATTATTTGCATTCAGTTCCAAAGTTCCCATGACCGAGATCTGTAAGATAATTCGACAAAATAACGGTTTCAGATATAATAGTTTACTTCAATAGTATGTCTTAAACGCACCGCCTCAAGCTTTCGACTATGCTCGCCACGCTTAGCATGTAAATTTACAATAAACTCGAGTAGTGTTGAATCCCATATACAGCTATAATAGGCATCCATGGCATCGGTAAAGTTGCAGGACTTTTCACTGAGATTCTTAAATACAATTCCATAGTCGATTTCTTCCAAAAATTGGCACAGCACTGTGGCCTGCATATGGCAACCAAGATTTGCGGCACAACGAATCATCTTACGTATGATATAGTCATCCGCGACGTTGCGTTGCAATGACAGCATGCAGTAATCCGTTCCTGTGACCAAAGCGTTGACATAGCAGCGTATGGCTGATTCGTTGTTACCGATTGTTAACTCGAGATCTCCCTTCATTTTCAGCCAAGAGATGGTTTGCGGGTAAAAGAACAGGGCTTCCGTGAGTAGCCACTGCAGCGTCTCGCATACGCTACGCAAGCTGTAGCCAACGGCACTGAAATAAAAAAAGCAATAACTTACACAATGAACAAAAAACTATAACTTCCTGATAAATCGGCCCTTTATAACGAAACTTGGAATTCGGAAATTTGAGTTAGAAATTCTAAGAATTAAGGGAGTTATAGAATATCACTAAATGCGGGGGAGGGGGTATTCCGAATTCATTTTCTGGGCATCTCGGATTTAAATTTGTGTTCCTAAGTCTTGTAGTCTCCGAGATATAGATGATTATACGAACGGTGATACGGAAAAATCCCATTATCGGGGATTTTGCATATAAATATACATAGAAGTTGTCTGTGATAGCTTTGCAAACTAGGATATTGCTATATTTTTACGCCTCGTTATTTTACGGCGTAAAAAATATCAAAATAAATATGTAGGTTAAAAATTGTAAGGGTAAGACATTAGGTGACTTTTGCACTGATCGTTGCTATCTTCCTACACCCTTTCAATTTTTAATGAGTGTATAAAGAAAACAAACAAGGGATCCTCTCTTATGTATGATTTATTTGATCGAGCATGAACTTACTTGGTAATAGTTGTCGGCCATAGCTGCATGTACTCACAGTTCAGATCGTGATTAGCATCATCTTTTAAAATGTTGTGAATCTTGCCCAGCATGGAAATTGCGAGGCCAAACACACTTTGATGTCGCACGCGTTGCAGAAATTGTTGCAACGACGTACCACAAGCGGGGATATTTGGGCCCACACGCTTGGGTACGCTTAAAAACATGGACAACATCAGTTCCCATGCATCACGGCACACTTTTTTAGGCCCTTTCATCTTTTCCATTTCCATAAATGTAGACGCAAACGCTTGCGTCAGCTCCAACTGCGGTAAACGCTTATCCAAAAACATAAGTGGTTGAAATTCAGACAGATTAAGTAGCATAACAGCGCAGTTGTTTACAATTTCAATACGTGGTGGTACCGTGTCGCTTAAAGCTCCTAGGCACTGCTTACAGCGGCTAGCAAGTGACTGTTGGTCTAGTGTTTTTTGATGCCATTCTTCTAAGCATTGTGCTATCTGCGTGTGCAAAATTTCCCAGGTGATGAGTTTGGATATCAATTGTGCATTTCCAAGTTCCTGCCGCTGTGTTTCCGACTTCAGCACAGACAGCATGGACACAGATTCACAGTAGTCTCCATGTGCGGCAAGTTCGCGTGCTTTGCCTAAAAGTACGTAACTAAAATCCTGCAAAAAACTAACGGGCATGGCCATAATGAGTGTTTTCAGAGGTTGCGGAACATCCCAATTTGGATTAATAGCCCACACCGGTTTTCCAGGTGCGCGGGCACACAGTTTTACCAATAAAATTCTCACAGTGTTAGCGTTGGTACAATTAATAAGCTGGCGCTCCAGAACGCCTATATCAATGCGAGCCACTAAAAAAACAAAAATGTATAAATGGACGTGTAGATTGGTTCCAATTACGTACTCTTAGAGTGGCATATCCAGTCACTTAGCGTTGCCAGTTTACTGTTCGGCAAAGTTGGGATACTTAATAGCAGGTCCAGATTCTTAAGATCAACATCCGTGAAAATACCAAAGCTACGAGTTGCCTGCAGAAACTGATTACCGTCTACGTTGTGAAGTACACAGTCAATCACAAATTGTTTCAATGCCACCTTATCGTCGTGTGTGCAGTGCGGCAGAACATCTTCAATAGCCTCTACAATGGCAGCAGTGTAATCTTTTTCGCGGTATTTTGAGAAAAATTCTACACAGCTAAAAATATTTCCAGATTCAAAAATATTCCGAACAACGTTAAGTGTGGCCACCTGCACCTCCAAGTGACGCGATTGCTTGAGAAGACCTGCAGAGATTGCACTCTCTATTTCGAGCTCCAATATGCGGCGATTTACTAATGGAATTTCACGAGCTCGATTATCTAGCTTTAATATTGGAACAATGTCTGTATATTCAGAGAGCACAGACATATGAAAACGCTGAAGCAGTGAGTTGCAATGAGAACCGTAACCGCAAGCTTGCAATAATCCTTCTAGTTCGTTGGATTGAATGTGGCAAAACTGAAATGTCTGGCTTCGCACTGATTGTAAATTTATGTTGCAGGCGGATGCCGCTTCACGAGCCAGTACGTATTGCTTGGTAAAAAGATAATAGTGTGCCAGCTCATATTGAATTTGACCGCGTAATTCCTCTGGCGAAATAAGATGCATGATTTCGTAATTCTGTACAGTGCTAAGGTTGTCGCATTGTAGGGTGATAAAGCTGTCGTAATGGAATACGTAAAACGGTTTGTTGCTAATGCACAACTGCTGCAAATATTCAATGGAAGGTTGCGTTGGTATATCCAGAAATTGCAGCATAATGTCGACGGTATGATATCTACGATAAATCAAAAAGCGTACAAATATCCTACATTAACATAAACAATATATATTCTTACCCATTGTTTGTAGGTTGTCGTGACACCCCTAGTGCAGTTTCTTTAAGCAGCTGAATACGCAAAACCATACGATGGTACATAGTCAAAGCAAAGCGCGCGGCATGCTCATTACCTGTTGGTGCTGCAATATATGTGTATACACTAATGTGTTATTTTTGTAAAAACAAAACTGCATCCCAATTTGGATACAGTACATCTTACATTTTGTAAGAATTAAGTAAAAGAACCGTTAAGACCTACAAATTTTCATATCGAAATCGTTGGGCAATGGTATGGGTAGTCCACGTCCGTAGCTAACAGTGCATAAGTCGCGCAGTAAGCCTAGTTGCATTGCGACTGGTAAGTTTTTCTCAAGTAAATCCAAATCCCATTTTAACCAGGTTGCTACTTTAAGTTCCAAAATTTTAAGAGCCAACTGTTTTCTTGTTAGCTGCATACAACAGTCTATATTACGTTGTATAGTGGGAATGGTTAAAGCAGCTGATGCTGACAGTGATGTTTGTATATCACTGCCCGGGGTGACAACTTCCGCAGGGAAAGTTACTTCCGGAGTCATGGAAATAAACTGCATTATGAGTTCCACTGCGCTGGGTTCTGAAAAAGTTGTATAGAAATTTGGCCCACGAATCAAACATTTACAAAGCCATACATACATATGTATGTAAGTACACATCTGAATGTTGGTAGTACAAATACATAGTTCGCTTACCAGGATTTGTCTGTTGTAAGTGTTGCGTTATTTTGTTTGGATCAAGCAGAAACTCAAACCAAAGCACAGTTTCTGCTGCTAATGGAACCGGCTTTGGTTTTAGCGGATCCTCCATTATTGTTAATGCGCTTAACATTAATTTATATCAGCGTTAGTAGAGCTGAGAACGATAAGAAATCGATTATTTTTTAAAAGTCTATATTTCGATAAAGTCAATGTAAGAAGTTGCATTTTACATTAAAAGTATTATTATCAGGGGTGCCACAGAAATCTCTTCCGCCCAAGTTTCGCCTCAAAACCAATTCTCGGTGCCACAGATGGGATGTTTCAAATCTTGTTTGCTTTGCTTGGAGTTTTGATTAAAAACACTAACAAAGACATTTTTCCAAAAAATAATAATTATTGGAATATAAGGAATATATAGTTTTTCTGAACAACCTTCATCAAAAATATTTTGCATGTCCTACTTAAATATTATTAAATTACCAAATTACTAAATGTATACTTAAAACACCAGCATTCACACACAACATCCAAAACAACCGCACAGTAGAGATGCCCCATTGTCCCAAATGGAACATTACATTTTGCGAATATCACAATTTGTTTAAAGTCTAAAGTTGTGAGTCAAACGAAAGTTAAAAATAAAATAAATATATAATATTATAAAAAATTTAAAATAAATTTAATTTTTAGTAATCGTTATTTTTTGTGGGATCAGATGGGCTTTTTAAACAATTCTGTTGTATATTTTCAAGAATTAATTTGCGTTCCCGCAAATGCTGGCGGGCTAATATTAATGCAAATGGCAAGGGGAAGTTCGAATAAGTGAAATCTTTCGAAGTTCTGCAGTACCGACGAATTTTTTTGTAGTTTTCAAAAACAACTATAGCCGAAACCACCGGAGTTTTCTGTGGCACCCCTGTGTAATTGTTATTCCCAAAATCTTGTCCATCATGTAACATTGAGATATGTATTTAATTAATTTTCAGCATTTACTAGAATCGTGCTACGTCGGTGTGGTGCATGCTGCAATACGTAGAAGCTTCCAGAAAAATATTCTAAAATGATAAGCACAAATGCGTCATACGATAATGAAGCAGACGTCAATGATGCTATAATCAGGGTTCGTAAAATGTGCTCATCCGCTGCTACTCATAAGAAAATCTGCCGCGGGTTTTAGTGGGTCGTTGCCGGCTGAGCCCGCGGGTATCGTGGGTCATTTTCATTTGTTTGACAGTAACTTTTTACACTGTTTGTCAGTTTCATTCGTAAATAAATAAAATTTTAAAATCGAATTCAAAAAATGCCTGCAAAAAAGCATCTATTTGTAGAAAAACCGCAAACTCAAAGAAGATGAGCGAAAAAAGCACAACTGATGACCGCGAATTATGTTTGCAGGATCTTCGCGAAAGGACATTTACAGCTGAGCCACAGAAACTGTAGAACCACGGGAGTCGCGTCTTCAGCAAATGCGCAACGAGGCATCTACATCGAGAGCAGCAGAGGAAGCCCACCAACATACTGCCCGACTTAATGCTATTCGTTCGCGAGGGGAGAGTAGGAGAGTAGCGACTTAAAATTGGCGGCATTCGGAATCCCCGGGTGTGTGCTGTTCGAATGGTAAAGTTGTTCTGCCTCCGTTCAATCCGCCACCAGAGCCGCTTCTGATATACATTTTTAGTGGCGCAGCAACACAAGCCGGGTACTTGTTACTAATATTTATTTATTTATTTAACAAATTAAATCTAGTATCTAATACTAAACTTAATATTAACTCGGGCCTTCGACTCGATGTTAATTATTATTATTATTATTTTTTAATTTACAGGTCTTTTATAAAGTTGTTTATTTATTCTATGTTGATAAGTGAGAGGGATTCTAAGAGGCAAGATGGGAGCTGGGGCCGAAAAGGCAGACCCTCATGCTCTCCAATTGACGGCATGTGTCTAGTAGGTGCTGAGAACTCAATTCTTGCCCGCAGCAGGGACAGGGAGGGCGGCTGATTGCAGTGAGTAAGTGTTCGTGCGTTTGTTGTGTATGTCCAATCCGAAGACGAATAAACACACTGCCGGAGCGTTTTGTGAGGTGTGCAGGTAGTATAATCATAAGCATTTTTATGATTCCAAATATGCGAAATTATGTTGGCGAAATAATTGCAAAATAAGCGAAAACGAAAGTGTTCAATTTAAAAGAGGTTCACAAATGTTTATTTTGCATAGGTAGCGATCACCCACTACGATTTTGTGTGTTTTGCGCGATTTACAAAGTTTATGCTGGTAGACGGAAAGCTAAGCTTCTCCGTACCAGATGCGATAACGAAAACGAAACTTAACTTGCAGAGTTAGCGACAATAACTAGTACATACGTGGCGGCTGCGCAGCAGCCTATGCAAATTTATGGCAACCAACAAAAGGAAACGTTATATGCTCAGCTTGCTATGCAAAGCAAGTGACAAGAAAACGAGCACTTTGTATTGAGTTATTTACGTTACTTATTAACTATGATGTGCTGCCGGTTTTGGCTGTTTTTGGCCGGATGACCAAACATACTCCCCCTGTTGAAGTACCAGAGTCTTCAACAACATCTTGTTTTGGCAGCGGGCATAATTTGCGAACGGCTCGTCGAATGGTTCCAGTGGCAGTCCTCAATTCTGCAACTCTCGACACGCTATCTGCGCCGCTGATGAGGCTGACCACCCTTGCTAATGGCCATTTGAGGGGCGGTAAATTCTCGTCCTTGACCAAAACGACATCATCAACGGAGAGTCCAGGCTGCGACACTCGCCATTTTGAGCGCTGTTGAAGAAGCGTCAAGTATTCTTCACGCCAGCGAGCCCAAAATATCTGCTGGTAGTACGTCACGCGCTGCCATCGATCCAGCCGATTGAAGTTGAGCTTCGTCAGATCAGGCTCAACTTACGTTGACAGCGGGGCAGCACCAAGAAAATGAGCTGGAGTCAAGACATCGAGATCTGCTGGATGTTCTAAAAGGGATAACAATGGGGGAGAATTAATAATTGCCCCGATATGGCATATAAGTGTGCGCAGCTCATCAAAGTCGAGCAGCGATAGTCCAACGGATCTGTGGAAATGATGATTGGCAGTCTTCACCGCCGCTTCCCATAGACCACCAAAGTGAGCGCGGCGGAATGAAACGCCAATCAATGCAATCAGCAAGGCAAAATTCTTGCACAGCCTGCAAGTGCTCGCTGGATTCAAAAAGACGCTTTAGCTCAGCCATCTCATTCCATGCGCCAACGAAGTTTCTAGCGTTGTCAGACCAGATCCTCGTAGGTCGACAGCGCGTCAAAATAAAACATTTAAGTGCATTTAAGAATGCTTCGGTGGTTAAATCCTTCACCAACTCCAAATGCACAGCTTTGGTGGCGAAGCAAATGAAAATGCAAATATAGCATTTTATTGGTGCCTCATTGCGGACCTCGCTTTTGTAGAAAAATGGCCCACAAAAATCCACACCAGTGACCATAAAGGTATGTGAAGCATCAACTCGATCCTTTGGCAGGTCAGCCATAACATGCTCCACAAGACGAGGTTTGGCTCGAAAACAAATGGTACATTTGCTGACTACGCTGCACACTGTTTTCCGACCGCCAATTGGCCAATACTGCAACCGAATTGAGGCCAGCAATGCACGAGGTCCAGAATGCAGGTTACGGACATGGTAGTGCATAATGACTGAACGCGTGACTGGATGACGCCTTGGAAGTATAATTGGATGCTGGGCTCCAAAGTCGAGCGCAGAGTTACTTAGACGGCCACCAACGCGCATCAATCCAGAGCTGTCGAGAAACGGAGATAAGGAAAGACAAGAGCTAGACGATTTCAAAGTTTGTCCAGCCTGCAAGGCCTTGTATTCGTCCCGAAGCGTAGACATTTGAATTGAGCGCATCAACAGCAGTGTTCCATGGCGGATGCAGTCCACCGATAGCCCAGGAATTCGTACACGATGCAGGAACTTGTATACATATGCAAACACGCGCTGCAGCTTTTCAAATGTGTTAACATATTTGCATTGCTGTGCAATGTCTTCGCACAGTGTGGTGCTTACAAGCACTTTAGAGCGCTGCTCAGGAAACGACGAGACGGAATTGCAAGACTCTGGCCAAGAAGATTTACCTTTCGTCAGAAATGCGGGACCATGTAGCCACAAGTTGGACTGGACTAATTCGCTGGGCAATGCTCCACGTGAAAATATGTCCGCAGGATTCAAATCGGTTGGAATATATCGCCATTCCATGCCAGAGGTTGGAAACCATTGGAAACGAAAATTTGAAACCTGGATGGCTCGCTGTGAATCCAAGATAGCGCTACTGCAGAATCAGACCAACAATAAAACTTGCAGTCGAATAACTCCATGCGAGATATTTCGTTTATAAGTTGTGCCAGCAAAACGGCTCCGCACAACTCTAGTCGGGGAACGGTCAACGATTTGAGTGGCGCCACACGAGATCTGGAACACAGCAGCTCCGCACGAGATTGGCCTTGCGTGGTCGAAATAATGTAGACGCAAGCTCCATAGGCATCTATGCTGGCATCACTAAAATCATGCATTTCAATGGAAACACCAGCAGAAAGTGCAAGCCTTGGAAATTTCAGCTGCTTTGTGCGCTCAAAATCTGCAATAAGATTATGCCAAGATGTTGTCAATGATGCTGAAAGGCTTTCATCCCAATCAAGCTTTTCTCTCCAAAGCGCCTGCAGGAATATTTTAGCCTTTGCGATTACTGGTCCAATAAGGCCAACCGGATCATAAAATCTGGCAATAGTCGACAAAACAGTGCGCTTGCAAATTCGACCAGATGTCAATGTTGGCAGAAACGTGAAAATGAATAAATCCGTTGCAGGATCCCACGACAGTCCTAGAGTTTTTGTGATGTCACTGCCATCATCAAACTTAACTAGAGTTTCTTTGTCCTCTTCCGGAACTTGTTTGAGCACATCAGGATTGCTGGAGCACCACTTCCTTAGCTTGAAATTAGCCTCGGAAAGTAGCCATGTGGTTTGTCTCATAATTTCTATGATTTCGTTTGTGGAAGCACCACCAGTGATTAAATCATCAACATAAAAATCGCGACGCAAGATATCGGAGCCAATAGGAAAGAGCTCATGCTCATCTTCAGCCAGCTGATGC